TTGCAAAACTTGGTTTCTTAATTGACTGTTTTCTGTGAAGATTTTTTGAAGTGAGTTGTGAAAGTCTAGGAATTCGTTTAGCAACTGAATGGGTTTCTCTTTAAGTGTCGAAACCTGTGTATGAAGACTATTGTCATCCTTTGACATTATAAATTTTATTTGGAAGATTGATAGAGTCGGGAACTCTGGTCTAGTGAGATTTGTGGTGGGAATGAGCCATTTGGAGGGGTGGTTGCTAAGAGGAGAAATTGTTAGAGTTCTGGAGGGTTCTGTAAGAATAATATCCTTGTTTTGATTTAAATAAATTATTGACACATAGCGTCTTGTTTTTTTCACAAGAATGACATCTAGAAGTATGTTGCTTTTCAGATTTGTTGTAGTTGCCTGAGAGCTTAGATTGTTGTCAGATATTGTAATTGGGTTTTGCTCAGTTATAATTGTTTGTTTCGTGTTGAGTCGCATAAGTATTTGATATTGGTGTTGTTGTTTACAGTTTTTTTGAGACATGTGGTTGTTTACACGTGACTGTTTGTTTGTTAATGAAGTATAAGGTTGCCTGGCTAATATTGTTGTAATTGAAATTGACATGATTTGATAATAACACGTGTTGGCGCATTTTGTTAATAAGTATGTGTTATTTACTTGTTTACTTATTGATTGCTCCTTTTTGACTACATGTTCGTGGCACACTAGTTTTGGAGGAGGTAAGCTAGTTTTGGTTTTTATGATCTGAAGGTATGTACGATAAGATTTTCTCTTATCTCTGTATAGTTGATGGGAAGTCTGGCGTCCTTCTAGCTCAAGGAAGGTGACAAGGTTGTCTAATTTATCAGATGGAATCTGGCTTTCCTTGAGTTTCTACAATGTCTAGAGGAGGTGTTTAATCTGGCACACGACTGGCTGTAGTGGTGATAGTGATGCTGGCTTCCTGAGACCTTACTGTGAATCAGAAAGTTTGATTTTTATCTTCTCCTCTTACAGGAAGAGGACAAGTTGTTGGGGGGTTTTTTTTTCTTTGTAATATTTATGAATTGATAAGGTTAATGTAATCGATGTGCTTGTAAGGTTATATCTGTTGATGGTAGTTTCTTTTTCTTCAGTTTTTTTGTATCACTTCTTATTCTTATTCTATTATAAAAACCATATATATCATTAATATTATATTTACTAAGTCAAATACTTTTCAAAATATATACTTAAACAGAGTTAGTAGGTCTACTGTTTGTTTTAAGTCAACTCTTATACACAATATTTTCATAGCAAGATTTGCTACACCACTTTCAATCTTCAAAAATTTTTCATTCAAAAAACTGAAATCAGTTTACCTCCTTCAAATAATCAGCACCCTTCAATCATCCAATTAGATTTTACTTAAAGATCAAAACAAAATTCAAACAAGTTCAAACCAGTTTTGTACTACAACAATGACCGCAATAACAATGACAACTATAATAACAAACAATATCACATGTATTCTATTATCTATAGTATACATGTTACTGAAATTCATAAATCCTTGATGCAATTGATGCAATTATTTGATGCAATTAATTGAGTAACTATTAAAACATATAAATAATTGAGTTATGACACAATTATTTTTGAGGATTTTGGGAATTAAATCAATAGCAAAATAATTTATGCCTCATGTATAATCTATAGTACCTAAAGAATCAAAGGGATGGAACAATAAGCCTATCTAAAAACTTTTTTATTACATACATGGATCTTATAATATATTTAATTTGGTTGTATTTATAGTTGTTTTTCTTTTTCTTTTCAATTTTTTATATTTAAAAAATCAAAAGAATTTACAAAATTTTCAAGAATAGTAAGCATAGCTGCTACTTAGCCTTATTTAGTACTTTAATGTTAATTTTAAATTTTTTTATGATATTAGTTAAATATTGATAAGTAGGCAAGCTAATATTTAACTTTTCTAAAATAATGAAAGGGGTGTTGTTTCTTTTACAATATATACCTTGTTATATACAATATCAAATAAAGAAATGATATTTATCTACTGAAGAAACTCTTCAAAAAAATATTTTTTTAGATCTATGGATCTATAATATAATAATTAGTATTTTATAGATTAGATTACAAAATATCAATTCAATTCCATATAAAAGTAATTAAATAAAACATATTCAATATTTAATATTATAGACCTGTAGGTTTATAATGTAGTAGTTAACACTTCACAGGTTAAATCACAAGATACCAGTTCAACCCCATGTGAGTGCAGTTGAATAAAAATTAATACAATATCTGGTATCATAATCTATATAAGCACTGTTTTTTATAAGAAGCTGTTTCACATGCTAATTCAAATAGGCATTGAGATTGTAATTTTCAGAAAAGATGTTGTGGCACAACGATTGTCCAGTTGATGTTACAATAATCGCCAGAAGTTGCAAGAAATATGAGGTGTCTGCTTTCAGTAAAAAATAACTTGATAATTATTTCTCTATAATACTTGATGTCTCTTCCTACAGGATAGTCAGAAAGATCCTATTCCAATCCAGTAATAAATTACTTCAACAGTTACTTATCCCGAGAAGGTGGCCCAGCAATAAGATCACTAGGTAACCTTGTAGATACCTAAATAGGCAATAAGCTTGATAATATAGGTTTCTTGGACATTCTTGGGTAGCTTGAGGAGGGGTGGAAATTAAATGAAAAAACAGTGCGTCCAACTACAGGTAGTCAGATCTGGAAAGATTAAATTATAATGTTCTATTTGCCAAATATAGGTACTACCTCCAGTGCCCCAAATTTCAAATTCTTCTTAAAACTTAGCACAGTATCAAATAGAATATCTAGTTACACCAATAGGATGTATTGTAGCAAGATTTGAGATGGCAATACATATATAGGTAGGCTGTATCCAGATGATATACCTGTGGGTAAATTCTAATTGTAACGATTATAAGTGTAGACAGAAATGTACAATATATGTTGTTTACAGCACAATTAATAAATTAGAATAAAGCTTACTTGCAATACAAAATATATACTGTATATATATATATATATTTATTTAATATTATAACTAATTAAATATTGTTTCTTATATAAAATTATTTTATATATTAATTTAACAGATATTAAGATTGTAATTTTTTAAAAAGATATTATAACATGATAATTATTTAATTAAAGTTATAATAATTATTAAAAGCATATCTATAGTAATTAAATAATATAATAAATAGGATTCCAAATTAAATATTAAAATAATACTAACTAGATATCAACTTATAATAAATTTAACATATGAATTATAATCTACTATATTAAACTTATAATAAATTCAGTACTAATTTGATATTGAAATAATATTGTTAAAAACTTTAATAGTAAACTAAAAAATATATAATTAATTTTTTTAATTAAGACTTTTTTTATATTTAATATATAGACTAAATTATATTTTATCTTAGCCAATTCTAATTCTTTTTTTTTAATAATGGTTAAAGCTCTAGTTAAGCATTAAAAGACTGCAAATAAAATAAATACTTGTGTGAGCCTCCTAATTTCTTCTTCATCCTGATCTATATCAATCGGTTCGGTCTCGCTTTCTGAGTCATCGATTATTTCCACAGATTCAGTTGAATTTATAGTATTTCCGTCTCCAGCATTTTGACGCTTTCTTTTGGAAGCTACTTCATTGGAATCGTACTATAGTATTAAACCACAAAATAATTAGTTCGGCTCAACTTCTAGCTAAAAAAATATTCACTTGTACCTCTTCCTGATATCTTTTCCTAGATGAGAAGGTTTTGTTATTGTTAACTCCACTGTTTATGGATCCTATGGTTCCACCTCCACTTACAGAAATGGAATTATTAACGTTATTAACGTTAATTAATGGTTTGCTATACTTTTCGCCTGATCTACGTGTTGCCTCCCAATATTTAGCAAGTTTACGGTCATTTCCCTAGGACGAAATATTTGAGGCATTTA